CACACACACACACACACACACACACACACACACACTATTGAACTCAGAAAAAGAACTACTCACAATTAGATAAGTCACAGGTGTAGTAGGCAAGTCACAGATTGAGTAGTCAAGTCACAGGTGACAATTCAAGTCAGACTTAATCAAAATACAATTCTTTAGTCAGGACAGCTTCTTTATCAGCATTCACCCAGGGAAACCTCCCTCTAACCTTCAGCCTTGCAGCTCTGGGACCCTGTCTTGCAAGGTTGTGCCACTAACTTATTTTAGTTCTGCCAATGATGGGAGCTCCCTTGTACTCCCTAACCGCACCCTACTCTTCATGTGCCAGTTGTTTTAGTTCAGCTCTGTCTCATGCCATTCTTTGATTCTCCGCCATCTCTCAGGTGCTTCTGCAGTATCTCAGCCTGCATCTAATTCCATCCTGGCCAGAAACTCCTTGCCCAAATGATGCACTGCATTCTCTGCTCCTTCCTTCTTGAAAGCGATGAGATTCCTTTTTCTGTCTTCCAATTTACTCAAAGTAAGCCTAGCAGGATGGTATGATTGATCCATTAACTGTTAATCACTGTAGTTATTAATCTATACACCTTATTCACATGTTTCTTATAAAAGGTATTAAGCCAGCCAGTCCCCTTAGTGGGTTTAGAAACACCTCACATGTGTATAGTCTTACCCGGCATGTGGTGGAAGCCAAAGCCAATGACTGGAAAAGCCACATTTAATCTTGGCTATAGCACACTTTGATTAAACTGTTGTCTAAAATATTAAATATTGAGAGCTTTTAACAGTTAGTAGGTTATGCCGTATATCTACAAAAAAATTACTGGGGAATATTTTAATAAATGTTCTATTTCTTTTACCTTGCTCGTGTCTCACCTTTTTCTTCCTATTTTCTCTTTATATGAATTTGGGACTATTTAAAGACCAAGTTTTGTTTATCCCCCCCCTTTTGTTTTGTCCAAGGGTTTGCTCATTGAATGTACAGGTTTTATGAAACTTGAAGACTTGCTTTCCATGGTAATCATGCTGGATTACACTGAGCCACTTTCAGACGAATATGTCATGGTGACAGATACCACATTTAATGACATTCCCGTACGCTTGTACTTGCCAAAGAGGAAGTCTGAATCCCTAAGACGAGCTGTCATTTATTTTCATGGTGGTGCTTTTTGTTTTGGAAGTTTCAGTAAGTTCATCATCTCATGAAAAAAATGTATTACTGCTTGTATGTTTTTATAGAGCCAACATTTTGTATAAATGTACATATTTATATGCCAAGTAGTTATAACTTGAAATTTTGTGGTGGTGTTATTCTGTACGACTGAATAGGAGCCAACCCACAGCTGACCCTTAGTGGGTTTTAGGAGGCAGTAAATTACATGAGAGGAGATTGCCCATCTTTGTCCTGCAGAACGGTTGGTGGATTTGAATCACATACCTTTGCGTTGACAGTACAGTTACTTACCACTAAGTCACCAGAGCTCCCTGTAAATATTAGAGGAAACTAAAGAAACAAAAACAAACCAACCACACACACATAAACAAAAAGTGTGAACTCACTGTCATAAAGTCCGAAGCAACTCATAACTAACCCTCCTGCAGGTTTTCAGAGGCTGTAAATGACACAGAAGGATGGCCTATCTTTCTTTAGAGAAGCTAATTTCCAAATCATTCTAAAATTTACCTCTGAATCAACCATACCAAAGAAGACGTTATTGTACCACACCCTCAGTATGGCTTTTACTAATTATATATTGGATGTTATCAGCCGATATTTCTGAAGTGTATTACTCCGAAGGCTGGTTATATTGTTAGGATGGGTTTTAAGACGTTCACTGTAAAAACAGAAAGCCTTTTTTCAAGGCCAAAGAACATCATCTCATTATTAGAAATTAATTGGTTCTCTGTGTTGTTTCTCTGCTATTTGAGGGAAAATGGAAGAACTTCATGTTCTCTAAATTATGTCTCTCATATCCTCTGCTCAATCACCTTTGTCCAAAACACGTCCTGCTATTGATTTAATCACTGTACAAAATGTCTATCCATTTTTTCCATATACTTCAAGGAAAAGGTGTCTCTACTTTTTGACAAAATTTGTTTTGCTACCTTTATTGGGACGATATGACTCGTATCTTACTATTTTACATTCTCATTCTATCAGTGATTTCATCTTTCTTGAACCCCAAATCTTGAACACCATTATCATTAGCAGTAAAAATAATTTAAAAAAATATGAGTCACATTGGGAAAATCTGCTGTCAAGGATGCCTCCAGAGTGTTAAAGATCAACTATATCAATCTAAAGACTAAGTTGCTCCTGATCTAACCATGGTCTTCTCAAGCACTTGCTATGCATTTGAAAGGATGATAGAAGAATTGATGCTTTTGAGTTGTGGTGCTAGGGAAGATTGTTGAATCTCTCATGGACTGCGAAGAGAACGAGTATGTCTTTCCTGGAGAAGCTAGGGTGCTTGTTAGATGCAAGAATGGTCAAACTCTGTTTAACATGCTTTGGCATGTTGTCCTGAGGACCAGTTCTTAGAGAAGCACATCATTCTCCAAAGTGCAACAGGCCAATGCAAGAGAGGAAAATCCTTGATGAAATAGATTTACACAGTGCCTTTCCCAATGGGGTCAAGTGTGTCAGAGATGATGACGTTGACCTGGGAGAGGGCAAAGTTCAGCTTCATTATTCATAGGGTCACTAGGACTTGTAGTCTGTGAGATGAAGTTTCACTAGTCTTGCCTTTAAAGAAAACCCTGGCTGCACATTTTCAGTGGACTTAAGTATGTCAGAGATGATAAGAATGGCACAAGACAGGGCAGAGTTAAGTTCTGTTGTTTTTCTGTTGTCGCTGTTGACATCACTTAATGACAATTTCATCTTTGGTGTTCTGGTGAGCGGTAAGAAGTTGAGCTGCCAATCCAAAAGGCAAGAGGTTTGAATCCACTAGTTACTCCACTGGAGAATGATAGACAATCTTCTCCCTTGGGATTTACAGGCTCTGAAAATGCACTGGAGGGTCAGCTGTGATTTGCTTCTGACTTGACAGCACATGACAACGACGACAACAACTCAATCTCTTACTAAAATAATCAAACAAGGGAGACAGTGAATTCTTCATAGTTATGCTTTTAAAATATTTTGGTTCTCCAAGATTCTTTTCCGATCCTCTTTTTTTTGTTTTTGACTTTACAAGTACTTATTTCCAGCCTATTATCTTCACCATTTTTGTGCATGCTACGTAACATCCAGTGCTCTGTCTCCTCCTCTGACACAATTTCTGAGATAACTGCTAATTAGACATGCGCAGCTGAAGGAACAAGAGACACTTCAGACTCATTACGACTAAGCAAGGGTTATTTAGAAAACAAAGACATAAACAAAAAGGGAACATTCTTCTTCCAACCCAATATCTTAATTTTTTGTTTGTATAAACTCACTGCCTTAGAATAGATTCTGACTCAATCTGACACGCCATCAGGTTGCTGAGGTTACAATCTGTATAGTGGAGACTGTCTCAACTTTCTTCCACAGAGTTTGGTGGGTTTGAACTGCCATACTTTCAGTTAATAACCTAGCTAGCAATACACTGCACTGTCAGGATTCTTTGCAGACAGAAAAAGACAAAAGAAATTTAGAACCTAGCTTCCTTCCTAAGACATCCATCAGCAGTTATCTTTTTAAGATGGGAGTGCCATGAATGGTAGAGTAGATCATGTTGATTCAAGTTTCTCTGACTAGAAATAAAACTCAAATTCATTATGAATGAGTTGAAATTGACTTTTCAATGGGTTTTTGAGACTTTACATGGAACAAGATTGCCCATTTTTGTCCTGCAAAGTGCCTGGTGGATTTGAACTGCCCAGGAAGGGTCACTTTTGGAGTTATTAGCATAATTCCCTAAGGATAATGTTGCCGAGAGATTGGTATTGCCAATGAATGCATCTTACATGGACTTACAATCAATATATTTGGTAGCAGCAGTCAGGAGATCAAGCGACATATTGCACTGAGAAAATCTGCACTCAAAGATCTCTCCAAATTGTTGAGGAGCAATGATGTCAGTTTGAAGACTAAGGTAGATCTGGTTGAAATCACTTGCTATGTATCTGAGAGCTGGACAATGAATAAAGATGGCAGAGAAAGAATTGGTGCCTTTGAGCTGTGGTGTTGGGGAAGAGTAGTGTCAAAAGAACAGATACATCTTGGAGAAGGTGCAATCAGAGTAGTGCTCCTTGGAGGTAAAGATGATTGAATTTAGCCTCATATACTTTGGACATACTCCCAGGAAAGGTTCTTCCTTGCACAGTGACATTGTGCTTGGAAAGGTGGATGGTGAAAGAGAGGAAGACCCCCGATTGGGTGGATTGACATAGAAACTGCTTCAATGAGTTCAGATATTGTGAAAATGGCACAGGATTGGGCCAGGTTCAGATCTGTTCCTCATATGGTCACTATGAATCGTAAGAGACTGGACGGCACCTAACAAAAACATGTAATACAAATATTTGTTTGCAACTCTATAGCTTCAAGTACTGTTTGTGTTACCTTTTACTCAGCAACTTTTTTTTCTTTCTTTTTCAGAGCAGTCGCCTTATGATTCACTGAATAGATGGACAGCAAACAGACTAGACGCTGTTGTTATGACAGCAGAGTAAGAGAAATTATTTTCTTTGACTACTTTGATTTTTACCTTCACAGAGGCCCTGTTTTATAATTAAATCAACCTAAAACAGAACTTTTAAACATTGTTGTTGTTGTTGTTGTTATGTGCAGTAGAGTGGCTTGCGACTCACAGCGACCCTAAGTACAACAGCCCTAAACCCTGCTCTATCCTGGGTCAATCGCACTGCCTCTGACACACCCATCCCGATTACCCCAGTCACTGAATCAATCCACCTCATAGAGGGTCTTCCCCTCTTGCGATGTCCCTCCACCCTCCCAAGCATGATGTCCCTCTCCAAGGGCCCGTCCCTCCTTACAACATGTCCAAAGTATGTCAGACGAAGCCTCAGAATCCTTGCCTCCAAGGAACCGCCCAGTTTAACCCTTTCCAGGATGAATGTTTTCCTAGCAGTCCATGGTACCCTCAATACTCTTCTCCAGCATCACAGCTCAAAATATTTAACATTACAAAAATTATTGTTTATAAGGATGCAGGAAGTAAAAGTTAAGAATTGTAAGTAGGTCCGGGGGCGGGGGGGGGGGGGAGCGGGAATGTTGAAATCTGGATTTTTTTCCAGATTTGTATTACCCTTCTTTTCTTAGCTTCTCCTTAACCTCCAAGGTCAGCCCTTTTTACTTATTTTCAACACTCAGAACAACTCCATGTTTTCAGAGATATTTCTACAGTATAATATTAGGTTGGTACTTAAAAAAAAATCCATGTAGATTGTGAAGAAGGTGTTTTTTTGTGGCATAGTCCATAGGAAATTATACTTCTAACATAAAGATGACATCTCTCTGGTGGCTCAGTCCAACACTGCTCCTAAGGGAAAAAATGGTCCATTTCCTTCTACGTGATTTACTTCTTAGGATAACTCACTGGAGGGTCAGTTATGAGTCAGATCGAGAATTTGAAATAGTCTACTTAAATTCATTTAAATGTCTTATTTTATGTTTTAATACATTTTGTACATACATTTGAGCTAAACGTATGCATTTGGTCAAATCCTTATAAATTATCATGCTTCCCTAGATAGAGCAAACATGTTGGTTTCTGAGCCAATGCAAACACCTTCATCTGCTAGTTAAAAACTTCGAGGTGTTTTCATTCACTCATTTGTTGATGGGCAGTTAGGCTGCTTTCATCTATTCCCTACTGTGGATGACATCGAGATAAACATGAGAGTCCATACCTCTGTTTAAGTCACATCTCTTCTTTCTTTAGGATATATTCCCAGTAGTGGGATACCTGGATCAAATGGGATGTCTATTTCCAACTTTTTGAGAAAGAACCAGATGGCCTTCCATAATGATTTATGATTTTGCATTCCCACTAGATATATTCTAGAAAGGATACGGCCAGTCTCTTCCTTGGAGGCAAGGACAACCAAGCTTCGTCTTTCATGCTTTGGACATGTAGTTAGGCCAGGCTATTCCTTAGAAAGAGACATCATGATTGGGAGGTAGAGGGTTAGCGAAGGAGAGGAAGACTCGCAGTGGGATGGGTTGACACTATGACTTCAGCGATGGGTTCTAGTATCTCAGGGATGATAAAGATGGCACATGATAGGGCCAGTTTCAGAATGGATATTCATACAGGGTCCATATGAGTCCTACTCAGTTCAATGGCACCTAACAACAACAGCAACAGCAGCAATGAATAAGAGTTCCAATCTGTACACAATCTCCTTAGCATTTGCTATTTGCTACCCTACTGAATGTCACTATTGTTGCTGGGATGAGACAAGATACCATTGTTGGGTTTTTTTTGTTTTTAAATTATTTTTATTTATTCATTCTTGTACATTTTCTTCCCTTCCCCTCTCTGCTTCCTTCCTTAGTCCAGTTTGCAATGCATCTCTTATTAAAGATTGTTGTCCTAAATATAATATCTAATCATATATTCCTTTCAGACCACTCCTGTCCTCATTAGTTCTTTCCTTATTCTCTTTCCAACTCCCTGTATCAGTCCTATTTTATAACAGTGGTGTTATTCAGTATTTGTTCTTTTGTAACTGCGATATTTCACTCAGGCTAATGTCCTCCAGGCTTACCTATGTCATGCAATGTTTTACAAGTTCATTGTTTTTCAATATTGTGCAATATCCCATTGTGTGAATGAATCATAGTTTTTCGATCAATTGGTTTGTTGATGGGCACTTGGTTTGCTTCCATTTCTTTGCTCGTGTGAATAATGCAGCAGTAAACATGCGTGTGCATGCATATATCTGTTTTTGTTGCTATTCTGCTTTCCGTAGGGCATATTCCCAGGAGTGGAATGGCTAAGTCAAATGGTACTTCTATTTCCAACTTCTTTAGAAAGCACCACACCACCTTCCATAGTGCTTATACCGTTTTACATTCCCACCAGCATTGACTAAGAGTTGAACCTCTCCATAATCTTGCCACCATTTGTTGTTTGCTGTTTTGTTGAAATTTGCTATTAGTGCTGGGGTGAGATGATTCTTATAGTTGTTTGGATTTGCATCTCTCTGATAGCTAGGGATTTTGAACATTTCTTAATGATCTTTTTGGTCATCTGAATTTCTTCTTTGGTGAAATTTCTGTTCATATTATGTTTCTGTTTAGTTTTTGGGTTGTTGACCTTTTTCCTTGTTTTGAATTGCTGACATAGTTTGTAAATTTTAGATACAAATCCTTTATCAGATATGTCACTGGCAAAAATATTTTCCCCAGTCTATAGTTTTTCTTTCTACTCTGTTGGAGAAGTGTTTTGGTGTGCGTCTGATTTGATTCTTAAAAGGTCCCATTCATTTATTTTGCTCTTTCCTGGTTGTAGGCATTTCATTGTTCTTGGCAGTCTGTTTGTGTTGTAGTTTAGAACTTTTAGAGTTGTTGCTCGATTTTCTCTGATGAATTTTATAGTCTATGGTACATTTATGCAATGAAATATTACACAGCATTGAAAATAACAACATGAATAAATCTCGAAGATATGCTGAGAGAAATATCTCAGTTAAAAAAGGTAAAATGTTGTATAATACCATCTCTATAAAATAGGACTTACAAGGCTGTATAAAACCTATGTTATAAAATAAAACTGACATGGGAGATTTGAGAGAGACTAGTGGATAGATAAGAAACACTTCATTGGAACAGATGAAGGGAAGGATTGTTTGAAAGAAAAGTCTGATTAGGCAATATATGTATGACAATAACCTAGAACAAGAGTTGGATTACAAAGGGATCTGGGGAACAGGGAAGAGAGAGGGAAATGTACAACAATGAATGAATGAAAAGCAAACCTTTCTGTAAACTTTCATTAATATTACAGTTAAAAAGAAATACAAATGATTTAGAGGCATGAGTTGACCCTAGAAATATCTCAGATGGAGATCCCCATGAACCCCTTCTACAAAGTCAGCCTTTGAAAACACTATGGGCCACAATTCTACTTAAACACACGTGGGGTTATCATATATTTTATCACAAGTAGGAAACTAATTAAAAATGGAATTAGTTTTGTAAAAAAACCCCTAAACCTGTACTAATTGTAGTATTGCATATCAACATTGTTTGGGGGATATGTCTATGTTTAAATTATACTTTATGTAGGTTTTCTGAATATAGTTTTTTAAAAAAATTAATATTACTTAGTCTAAAAATTAATGCTAAAATTATAAATATTAGCATTCTTAAAAAATTCTCTTTGAAAATGAGGCTAATAAAGGGGTTTTGTTTTGTTTTATTAGCTAATTTGCATATATAGAAAAGAATTCCATTTTTACTCATCTTTAAAATATTATGGTAATTGACTTTTAAAAGTTTATGAGAATTATACTTCTCTTAGTATTGCTATTAAGGCCACAGAGTCAATTGAGACTCTTAGACACCCCATGTGACGGAATAAAACTGCCCAAATGTGTTGTTGTTTTGTTTTGTTTTGTTTTGTTTTGTTTTTCCTTAGCTGTGTGAAGTGAATCATCGGGTCTCTTTCACATGGAGCCTCGGATTGGGTTCAACCAACCAACTTTGTGACTGGATATTTATCAATTTACACTGCAAGGACTTTTAGCAATTTCTTGTCGTATTTATTTAAATGCTATCTACATATCATGATTTTTTAATTTTTAATTAACTTCTACAGTGATGAAGAATGTGGCTTCCTCGTTTGCAGAATTTTGAACCTAAATTACTTTAAAAAATATAAAAAAGCTAGTTACCTGGGATAATCTGTCAGTTCTATTGCCTTTATAAACCTGTAGTGTTTTTTCACCTGGTTTTAAAATATCTGTGTCCTCATCTACATTATGAAATCAGGAACCTCAGATGACTTAAAAACCTTTGTTTTTTTACGTATTTTTAAAATTAATTTTAATGAAAGTTTACAGAGACTAAGGGTTTCCAGTTATGCATTGTTGCACTTTTCTCCCTACCATTCCTCCCCACCCTCCAACTCACTCTTCTTTTTGAAAAGAAAAAGAAAACCACCTTCATTGTTATGCAATCCCTCCCCTCAAGCCCACTCCACTATGCAGCCTTCGCTCTGGACTTCTGTAATGACAAGAATACCCATTCATATGTCCCTTTTAAATAGTTCTATCCCTCCTCTGTTTCAATGCAATATACATCATTCATCCCCCTCCTTTTCTGTATTCTCTCAACCCCGATGTCAGTCCTGTTTTACATCAGTGACCCTATGCAATATTTGTCCTTTTTGACCGAGATATTTCACTCAGCATAATGTCCTCCAGGGTCACCCATTTTGCATAATATATCATGAGTTCCTTGTTTTTCAATGCAGCATAGTATTCCATTCTGTGAATATACCAGAGCTTCTCTATCCATTCATTTGTTGATGGGCACTTGAGTTGTTTCCAGCTCTTTGCTATCATGAAAAAAAAAAA